TGTGTGTGTGTGTGTGTGTGTGTGTGTGTGTGTCCGGGCTCTGTATGTGTGTGTGTGTGTGTGTCTCTGTGTGTCCGTGTCCGGGCTCTGTTCTTTTAGGAACGGTACTGTCTGCTCCCCCACATCACGTCTCCTGCAGGTGCATTTGTAGTGCAGCTTGTCTTTTAAACATCTTGAGCACAAACTAGGTATCGAACCTTCTTGCAATAGTTTGTTCAGAGGGTTTCACTCGGACAGCATCCTACAGCGCCGTGTGATACTTGGCTGCCAGGTCAGCTGGAGCCTGAGATATGTAAGTGCAGCTAGTAAGTGTTTGAACAGCCTTATGGCTGCTGAATGAAAGAAACCCACCTTTTCTAAATTAGATGCTTTTTATTAGTGTTCAGCTAAAGCAAGGACAGACTGTCTTCTTTTGAAGTGACATAATGCTGTTGGACCAGGTTTCCTGTGAATCAATATCGTCAGTGCATCACCTCTCAGAGGGACTTGTTGTTCATTATTCTGTTTAGAGAGCATATTGGATCATTTTGGCTCCATTTTGTGTTCATCTGGTATCTAAAAGAGGAACCGTTACTGGGAGTTCACCCATTCAAATGGACCGGAACAGCTCTGTGACAAGTTCATGATACTGGAGGTCTGTTTCAGAGAAGAGGAGGAGAGCGCTGTATCATCACAGTCGTGTTTGTGTGTGTTTTCATATCTCTAGGTGAATGTTTATAGTTTCTGAGGTGTCCAGTTTGCAATAAATGGTATATTCTTCTGTGTACAGTTACATTTTTTTTAAATTACATAAATTGTACTTGTCTATTTTTTGTGTGATGGTTTCAAAAAGAACAAAATAATTTTAAAGTGTAAAGGAAATCTTAAAATATTGATGCAGGATTTATTCTCTAAATAAATACATTCATCTGTTTCCTGCTTGTTCTCAACTTTCTGTGCAGTCATCTGAAGTTCATGTTTCGTTAAAAAAAAAGACAAAATCTCCAACGCTAGTTAACAATGGAAGTCCTAAACATTGATATTGAGGGTTTTTCCGCTGCCTCTCACACATGAGACTCTGAGGAACACGCGTGTGTGACGTCTTTGGAGGAACCGGCGGTTGAACGGAGTCAGAAGAGGAAGTGGTGAACAAATATGGTTCCACCACAGATCAGTGAACCGCTCCACAGGAAGCGCTGATCATCCGACAACATGAAGTTAATCAAAATGGAGGATACAGTGGTGCATTTAATAAGGCTTTATTGGTACATTACAGGATTTCCAAAAGTTATCAAGTTTGAAAAGATGTGTAAGAAAGTTGTATCATAATTAATGTGACAAACGGCTACTTTTCATTATTCTCTTCATGTAGAAAGGATGAGAGGAACTTGACAAACAGCTTCAGACTGAAACAGCGTTTTACTTTCTCGCTCGGTTACGGAAGCCCAGTTCTCTGAAACAGCTTCCATTTTCTTGAGAATTAAAAAGCTTATTCTGTTGAAACATATTTTGGGATCATGGCAAAACAAAGATTATTAAAATCACAATTTTGTCCTCTGCAGATGTTTCTGGAAAAGCTTATTTAAGATCAAACATGATTTGATCAAAGGACGAGAGCTGTACAAGAATATTAACTTTAAGATGTGCAGATGAAGAATATATTTTCTATAACTTGTAGCCTAGTCCGGATCTACTGATGTGGCAGAAGAGCGTCATGGCAAAACACATTCCCAATACCTGTCGACAAACCAGATGAAAGAATAGAATTGTAAAACACATCTGGATGAACTATTAAAGCTGCATTCAATTCTAACCGTGGCCACTTCAAGCTCCAACAAGATGAAAATGTGCTCAGATCTCGTATGGAGAAATGAACAGAGTGTTCCTTTCAGTTTGGTAATAAGTATGAAGTATTTAGATATCGTCAGTTTACCTCGACAATGCAGAGGACAATGACGGAGATCCCAGTGGTGAGGAAATTCTCCTCAAACAAGTTCTGCAAGGTTATCAAACAACCCTGCAAACAGAGAGCATCCCGTTAGAACCGTCACCAACCGTCTCATGCAGGTAAGGCATCTGTCTGCATCGTGTTACCTTTGGTCTGTACTGGACCTGCAGGCTGCTGCAGTTCTTCAGGCAGCAGGACAAGGGCACTTTGTCTGCCCAGTCCGTCACATTATTGATTCCACAGCAATTAAGCTGAAACAGATTTTTAAAGAGGTTTTACGATAACGTGCTGAGATGTCTTCGCTCTCTGTATTTCAGCACATCATTCATGTGAGCTGTCAGTGTGTCTGTGCTCTGATCCACTCACCTGCACCTGAATCAGATCCCACTCACTCATCACATCTGTCGAGTTTCTAGTCTTCCATTTGGCCTGTTCCAAACCCTTGTTGAGATCCTCTTTCACCACTCTACCTATCTAAAGAGTGAGGAGAGGTTTGTAAATTATACATAGTTGATATGTGTTTCCTCCATTAGTACAACACGGTGTGAGCACTGATGGATGTGACCATACCTCTCCCTCATACATGAGCAGCAGGCATGCTGCAGTCAGCTCCACCAGCATCAGCAAGAACAGCAGCAGGAAGAACTGTCAACAGAATAACCCACGACAGTCGGTTGTGTGTTTCATCTTTGAGAAACATTCAAATACCACCAGAGCTAAGGGAAGATTCCTCAACACAACAAGAATGTTCAAATATACTGTCGGTCCAATGGAAGGAGAAACATGGGCAGTTTGGAATGTTACCCAAACGGTCCACGGTAAACATCCCTCTGTCTGTGGACCAGAGAATGATGCTAACATCAGCATGTCAGCGCAGTGACATCATGATGTTAACATGCTGATGTTTATCAGGTGTGACTAACATGTTCACCGTCTTAGTTTAGTGTGTTAGCATCCTGACACGCACAACGTGCAGCTGAGGTTTGACTTCACTTTTGCAGGGATTTGGTCGTGTTTAGAAATGATCACCAAGGTCATCAGCATCCGTCATCTGAGGAGCATGAATCCGTTGGAACCACATTTTATGGCAATTCATGCTACAGCTGTCGAGACATTTCACTCAAAACCCGAAAGTGGTAGGATTCCATCTCAGGGGACCATGAATGTCTGTATAGACTTTAAGGGCGACCACATAGTACGAGGGCACTAATGAAGTTGCTTTGTCCTATGCACTGAGGGATTATTAATGATATTTTGTGTGGGCTCATTTTTAGTTTTTACCTTCAAATACAGTGGTTTAGATAATGTGGATAAAGTGTTGGCTTGTTTCCAACCTGTCTGGTCTTCTGGGTTACACACCTGTTGGTCTGTTGTAGCCATGTAGCCATGTTCCCAGAGTACAACGTGATTCTAACTGATAACAAACTATGAAGATAAAACACCAAGTTGTAATAAATCGAAATGATCCTTCCATTTATTGATGATGTAATACTGGTGATAGAAAGCATGTGAAGTAGATCTTAAACAGAAGTATTGTGTTTCAAATATTTCTTCCACTTACATCTCTACCGCGTCTCTTGTCGTAGTGGTGCTGGAAATGATTTGTGACTACAAGCAATGCCTGAGAACGATCAAGCATGCCTGCAAAATAGCTGAAAGTAACTTGTTTTCTTCTAGTGCTATGAAGCCCTGCAGATATGCTTCGCTTTCATTGGTCCAGGTTTTGGGTCTTCCAGTACAAATGAGATGAATGGTATTGACATCGTGGTGTTTACAGCATTAAAGATACACATTGTCTCACTTACACTGGCAAATATACACAGCACACAGCACACAGTTGAGAATGGAACTAAGACTTGTGGTGAACTGACTCATCACTACTACGTGTGTATTAAGGAATGTCTGTAAAACGATCAAAAATAGAGACGTGATGAGAGTCGGTGAGAATAACCGACTCATTTATGTGGACATTTTGGAAAAGTCAGCAGATTTTGTTCTGCGTTATCATCTTGTGACACGTTGGAGGCCCAACAGCCCAGGTCTCGTGTACAAAGAACAGAGAGAGTGATCATGAGGAGTTAGCAGATGGACCAGAACAACAACACAGCCAGTGTGAGCACCCAGGGGTGCTGTGTGTGTGTCGTACCGTCAGCAGGAGACAGCGGTTCTCCTTCAGAGCACCCAGGAAGCCCAGGAAGGACACGCAGGTGATGACGATGCCGCTGATCAGCAGCATGTTGGCTATGTTGAAGCTGGCCAAGGTCGGGGTGAGAGCAGCCATCTTGAAGTTGACCATCATGTAGACGCCGAAGCCCAGCACTACCACACCGCACAGCTGACAGGATTATTAGAGTGATCACACATGAATGCTTCACAATGATAATCCACTTATATCCTATGTAGTTATATTGTGACACTGAGAGGAGCGTTCTTTTCTTCATCATGAGTACTTCTACTTTAGTTACATTTTACAGTTGATGCTTTTACTGAAAGGCCAACGTTGGTCTCCGTGTGTTTGTGTCTATGTGACTACCGGGGAACGTCTTTGACGTTGGTCCAGTTGAAGTATTTGGAGCGCTGCAACAGGCTGTAATGAAACCGCTCGGGGAAACTCCTCACCGTCAATGCACGCCCACTACAAGTGTTTGTGTCTGACACACGATGGAAAGAACCCGACAGAGAGAGAGAACCTTTTGCTTTCTGTTTGTTATTGTGTCATGTGACTTGTTGCCAGAAGACGGTGGGAACGTGAGTGGGAGTTGGAGAGAGGAGTGTAAGAGGGGTTGTACAGAAAGCTTAGCTTCATGTTTTCTAAAATATTTTCAATGTATGAATATTTAGCTTTTTCAGTGTGAGACTTCTCAGAGTGAGACGGGATCAAGTGATGGGCAAAGAACATCATTGGGTTCCTCCGTAGGGTTCTCTCCATAATGTAGTCAGACACTTCTGATGACTACCGGAGCCTGTCAGTGGACCGGAGACATTTTGTCTCCAGCGCTCTCCCTCAATACTGAACCAGTTTCATAACTTGCTGTCACATTAGTCACTTAGACACAAAAACATGGAAAATATAGAGTCCAGGTTGAGAAATACCAAAGCTAGTAAAGGATCAGAATACTTCCTCAAACACTGACTTTTCCTTCTTTCAGTCAGTTCAGTCTCTTGAGTTTGTACCACTATCACTTTAAGTGGCACTTATGGAATCATTACTTTTATGTCATTAGCTGAGCTACACCACAACATGTACCATAGTGACCTAATGTGCTGCTGGATGATGAAGACATACGTACAAAACAAAGGAAGTTGGCGAAACACAAGGTGTACTTCAAACACTTTAGGCAGCCTTGAGCCATTCTGTCACACCTCTGATCAGACCTGCAGCAAGAAACATTCAGATTAACATATTTCATCTGATATGAACAGAGGAGGACAAAATGTATCTGCTCTGAACAAATTCCGGCCTTTTGTGTGTGTGTGTTTGCGTGTTTGTGTGTGTGTGTGTCTCAACGCAGACAAAGCGCCATGACCCCATCTCACTTCCTGTGTTTCCTCCCAGTTTACATACAGAGTTACAAATACATTTCACCTTCATTAAACAGGCCGTGTAGTATAGCTGGTGTTGCTAATGAGTCACAAGGGTTAGGTCTACTGTGGAAATGAATACTTCTGGGTAAAAACGATAACTATCACCACAATGTATATGTTTAAATATTTAAATATCAGAAAACTCAAACAGTGAATCTATTTATAACCTGACGTAAGAATGATTAATAAAGATGGATGCCAGAATAATAACATTTTGCTCACATTTGATCTATTTCTCCTAAACTTTTACATACGACACTTCGACTGAGATGACAGACCATGCTGGTATTTCAAGTCGTTTTTAAGTTTTTTAATTCCTTTTTTTCTAGTATTCCAGTAACACATTGTTTTTATGATAAAGACAAAAGCGACAGAGAAAACACTAAAAGAATATCTCAGCCTGACACTAAATACAGAGGAGAATAAATAGAGGTCTTACCAGCTTGGGAGAATAATGCGCTCGTCTCTGTGTTCACACTGCTGTTGCTCACACTTCCCCTTCTCATGGCGCTGTGGAGCGTGCAGCTCTTTGTGGGGCTTTCAGCACCTCATTCTCACTTCCTCATTCTCAGTACAAGCAACACGGAACATCGATGACAGAAAGCGTGGCAGAGAACAAACCAAAATAAAAGCAGCAGAGTGTCTGTCACACACTTCTGTTATTTAGAGACGTCTACATGTTCAGAAATAAACAGTCAGACTGTGGTCCAGAGCTCTGAGGTTGAAAACATGCTGAATAATTATGTAGCATGTGAGGTGACAATTATGTCAGAGAAAAATAGGATCCTTATTATTCAAAAACAATAGGTTACCAAACTCACTGCACACATGGTGTTACAGATGTGGTGAGCTTGACTCAAGTCTTTAGAACATTTTATTTAATTACTTATCTTGTATTGGTCTTTGTTTTTATACAATATAGCAATGATAATTCTATTCTAGTCGAGTAAAGCCCATGAGAGTTTGTGTAATGTATGCACAAATATATAAATGAACTGCAAAGGTATGCATTTAAATACACTTACAGTAGGCGTGTATGTGTATCTGTTTAACATAAAAGAGACTTGAAGTGTGGTGGAAAACCCTGAAGGGCTGAACATTCAGTTTCAGTTGGAGATGTGAACCACACACCCTGTAGGCGGCCCACTGAGCAGGCTGAGAAGATCCGCTTCAGGTCAGCAGACATACAAATATATTTGACTGTTTACAGAACTATGAAACTAGCTACAAAATCCTACTTCCTAAATCTAAACTCTTACAAAATGTCCCCAAATTCCTATTATATTATTAACTATTGATCAAACCAATTAGTCCTTCTCCAACCATTTCCAATTTTCTAAATAATAGATGTGTTGATTTTGCACATTTTAATGAATTATGAATTAATATTCTGCAAGACCACAGTTCTAAATGTGCTTTGATCGTGAAAGGACTCTACTTGTATTTCTCTTTTCTTGTCTTCCGACCACTCAAAGCACTTTAACACTACATGTCATCATTCACCCATTCATACACTGATGACAGGACTACCATGCAACGTGCACCTGCCCATCAGGACTAACTAACATTCACACACCGGGAAACTACGGGACCATCTTGGGGTAAGGACACATTTACATGGACTAACGGAGCCGGGGATCGAACCACCGATCCTCTGATTGAAGGACGACCGTGCTCTACCACTGACCCACAAGCACAAGCACATCATGCTCCTCAGGGGTCAACAACCTCAAATGAACTGTCTACTAGTGGGACCCATTGTGACCAGGACAGCATGTATAACATCCTTGCCTTCCCGTTGTGGAGCGTGCAGTGGATGAACCTGCCTTGTGACTTTAAGATGCTTGAAGAGGTTACAAGGTCCATTTATTGTTATTGTACAATGAAATATGTGAAGGGTGGAGTATGAGTCCCTGAGTCTCAGCCGGAGGAAAGAAGCTGCTCTGAAGTCTGGTGGTTCAGCAGCTGATTCTTCTGTCTCTCTCTCCAGACAGCAGCAGGTGAGCAGGCTGTCTGGGTGGGTTTTGGGTGCACATTGCACTGTTGTTCAGCAGTACTTTTAAAATAAAAGTGCTCAATACACTACTTTTGAATTCATTAATGAACTTTGAGCATAACAATAACAATATATATATATATATATATATATATGTATATATATATATATGTGTGTGTGTGTGTGTGTGTGTGTTGTGGCTAACCAGGGGGAAAGCCGAGCAGACACAGCACAGGAGGCGGATCCCCAGGCTCAGGTTGGGGGAGGTGATGGAGGGAGTCTACTATCCGGTGCAGGTGCTGCAGCCACTAGGCATGTGGCAGTGGTCACACCTGCAGCCCATCAGCTAATTAGAATGAGCATATGTTCCCAGGGCTGTGAAGAAGCAGCAGCGGCAGACAGACTGGGCAGAAGAATACGAGGATCTCCTGAACCTCTGGAGAGGAGCTTCATCAGACGGGAGGTAATTCAGCGGACTCAGCGCTCTCCTCTGCTCTGCCCACACAGGACGGAGGAATCATCTCACCCTGTTGTAGACCGAAGGCCAGAGCCCCCGACCAGGAGGAATCTTTTGTTGAGTTTGACCCTATCCCCCTTTACCCTCCCCTGTTTATTAAAGGACACCTTTTGTTACATGGTTACCGTCTCTGAGTCTCCCGTTTGCCTCCACGTCCCCCGGGTTGCCACATTATGTATATAAACATCACATTTTGCTGGTTACCTTATTTTCCTGTTCTGTGCATTGCATTGTGGGACAATAGTGTACTTTTAAAGTACAATCAAAAGAAAGCATTTTTAATATATATAATAGGAAATATAGTACACAGCTGAAATACCATGAAGAACAGTCTGTTGAATTGTGAAATGTAGTGTTACTGAGCTGCTACTCAGCTCATCCATTTCATTACACCATTCCCATGCAGTGCACACATGTAGTGCTGTTGTATGAACCAGGAAAATAGAGACTCTCATGGCTCCATGTAGGAAATACGCTCATGATATACATTGATGCTTTGCTTATATGAAAAAGCTTAATAGAGTCATTGTTCATATTCTACTCGCCACACCGTTGGTGCGTATAAATCCCTTTCCTAAAGGAGGATTCCATTCATCATTGGACAGAAATGAGGGTAACACTATACTTAAAGTGCATTCTAGGCACATTAACAAATGTGTCAAACAAGCGGAAAGAAAAGACTTGACACATCTCCATCAACCCCGGCTGTCGGGCAAGCGGGGGGGGGGGGGCTGCTGTTATGTACTCCCATTTGACACCACCCAGGCCTAACAGTGTTTTTATCCAAGACTTTGCAGAGGTACTATCCCATTTTACTTCAAAGTATGACAGAATTCTTATTTGAGGTGATTTTAACATACGTCTGCTGCCCATCACAGACTTTTGTTTTTGTCACTGATTTGATGGATACCCTGGAATCTTTTAACCTCACTCAGCCGATACAGGAGCCCACACTCAAAGGGTCACACCCTCCATCTAGTTATTTACAGTGGTCTCAGTCCTGATAACTTTGAGATGAAGGATATCTGTGTCTGATCACAAAGCGGTTTTATTCCATCCTCTACCAGTTATTCACACCTGTCCGCTGCCGGGTTTTTAACTCTATGTCTGCGAGCATGTTTTCTGAGCATTTGAACTGCCTTTAATCCTCATTTTAATTTAGAGGAGCTGATCTCCCTTTCTAATCCCACCTGTCAGACTGTCCTGGACTCTGATGACCCCCTTAAAGACAGAAGGACAAACATAACACCCCAGCCCTGGCTTAATGAATCCACCCAGGATTTAAAGAGGGACTGTAGCAGAAAGGAATGTAAATGGAAAGATGCAATGAAGACTTATCAAACGGCAGTTAAAGAAACAAGAACTTCCTTCTTCTCCAACTTAATTTTAGCAAACCACTCAAATCCGAGAATTCTATTTAAGATAATCCACTTGGTGGTCAACCCCCCCCCCTGTCATTTCACTGACCCCTCCCCCCTGTCATTTCACTGATGCCTCACAAGAGATGAGCGAGCAGTTTTTAACCTTTTTACATGTCAGGAGGGGTATTAGTTATTTTAGCAATTTAAAACCTGTGTCTCTGTCCTGTTTAGCTGAAATCATATCCCGTATGAAATCAACTACGTGCAGTCTTGATTTTATACCTACATTTCTTAAAGAGGTTATTAATACAGTTGGGCCCAGTATTTTATTGATTATTAATAGCTCATTAGCAACAGGAACTGTTCCATCGACTCTTAAACTTGCTGTGGTCCAACCTCTTTTTAAAAAACCTAACCTTGATCCCTCTGTTCTTAGACATTTTAGATCCATTTCTTCTGTTTGAGAGAAAGTGGTTTCAACCCAGCTTTTATCTTTCATGTGTCTTAATAACGTCTTTGAGAAGCTTCAGTCAGCTTTTAGAGCTTTAGCACAGAAACCTCCTCAAGGTATCAATCATCTCCTTTCAGCAGCCGACAGGGGGAGAGCTCGATTTCATTTATTGCAGACCTAGTGCAGCCTTCGACACAATGGACCATGACATTTGAATCAACCGTCTTAAAACGTCGATGTGTTCTTGGAGTCATGTTGGTCGGCCGGCCCCTCCTGGGAAGGTTCGCCATGTTCCAAGTCTTCTCCATTTGTGGGTGATGGTTCTCATCGTGGTTCGCTGGAGTCCCAAAGCCTTAGAAATGTCTTTGCAACCCTTTCAGACTGATACATGTCCGTTACTTTGTTTCTCTTCTGTTCTTGAGTTTCTTTAGATCTCGGCATGATGTGTTGCTCTTTGAGATCTTTTACTTCACTTTGTCAGACAGGTTCTATTTCTATTTCTTGATTCAACAGGTCTGGCAGTCATCAGGCCTGGGTGTGGCTCGTGAAATTGCACTCAACTTTCTAAAAAATGTGGTTAATCACAGTTGAGTCATGATTTATCAAGGGGGGGTTCACACAGGGCCAGGTAGGTTTGGATAGCTTCTCTCCCTTATTAAATGAAATCATCATTTAAAAACTGTATTTTGTATTTACTCGGGTTATCTTTGTCTAATATTAAAATATGTTTGATGATCTGAATCATTTAAGTGTGACAAATGTGAAAAAAATAAGAAACCAGGAAGGAGGCCAATACTTTTCCACAGCACTGTACATGCTCCCACGTGGTCACATCATCCAACGTCATCACGTCTCTTTTCATTACGCAGACGACACACAGATATACTTCCCTTGAGACCTGATGACCCCAGACGTCTAGCTGCTATTGTAGACTGTGTTAATGATATCAACTGTTGGATGGGACAACATGTTGTTCAACTCAATAACTCAAAATCAGAAATCATAATATTTAGTCCCCCAAACATTACATTACAGTCATTTAGCAGACGCTTTTATCCAAAGCGACTTACAATTCAGATTCCATCACATTTCTACACCGTAGGCTCAGCTACGGGAGACATTTTGGGATTGAGTGTCTTACTCAATCCCATTAAAAGTGCCCTTGGGCCCCTGACCATTAACATAAAGTCCACTGCCAGAGACTTATGAGAACTATTTGACTCAGATTTAAGCTTCAAACCACAAATCACAAAAGTTGTCCAGTCCTGTTTTCTTCAAATAAGAACAATCTCCAAAATCGCCCTTCTGTCTGTTCCAAAGTCGAGGCTCAAACTAAAGGCGAGTGTGTGTTTCCCATCAGGACCCCTCGGCTCTGGAACGAGCTGCCTGAGGAGACGAGGCTCTCAGAATCAGTGATCTCGTTTAAATCACTTCTTAAAACACATTTTTACAGACTGGCTTTTATGTGACGTCATCGCTTTTTTTTTTATTTGTTGATTTTACAAAATTATTTTACAATTTTTATTTTTATTTTATCGTATCGACTGTCTCACTGATCTTTCTGTTGTTGTTATTATTGTCTTGCTTTTGCTGCTTTGTCTGTCAAAGCACTTTGCAAACTCTGTTTTTAAAGGTGCTATATTAATAAAGTTATTATTATTATTATTAATTAACCTCACCTCACTAAGTCTGTGACTTACCATAAGTCAGTTTAGTGTATAGGGATGTTAGCCTGCTACAGCGCTCACAATCGTAAAGGTATACATGGAAATAGCCGCAGATTCGACCATCCAGCTGCGTTGATCTGAATGGGAATGTCCATTCTACTCCTGTTCTATTTCTATGCACTTAACGGTTTAAACCACTGAAATCTAGAAGTTACAGGAAACATTGAGGCTCTTCACTCTAAACTAACAACGAGTCACTGTACCCATCAACTGCTTTGTTTCCTGCTGTGTGTCTCTGAGGAAGACACTGAGCAGGCTACCTGGCTGCTCATTGGATGAGAGTCCAGGCCACATGTTTGTAATGCAAACTCAGGGAATCTATCAAAGGTTTCCAGAAATACTGAATTGAAATGTGCTTGTTGTGGACCATCTTTAGCAGCTCTGACAGGCAGTCATGGCTTTGATGGGTGTCATGGCGCCGGTCTCTGCTGGGCAGTCGGACGGCGTCGAACTCGGATTTGAATTTCCTCGTCCTGTGGAGCAGGAACACAAGGGACAAGTCATCACTGTCTTCCATCTACTTAAGGATGACCGTGAGATAAGGGCTGATGGATCGGCATTGATTTACAAGGAATAACTGATGTTGGTTTTATACGTACAGTTTCAGCAGTGTCTGCCGTCTCCTCTCCTTCTGTGTGTTCACTGCCGGCAGTGAACGCCTCAAAGTCAGATAGAGCGCTTTCCACCGCCTCCTCATCATAGTCTGTCTGGTATTCATCAGACAGTTCCTCTGAATGAGACAACAGGAGCACCAGTTCTATTTACACCACTCAGAGCGACACCCGAAGTCAAGGTAGGCTTTGATATTAAGATCTTTTCAATGTATATATAACATCTTTGGTGCATTGGTTTGGGATTTCAATATTTTACTGATAACTAACCATTGATTGAGGCATTCTTCACAGGTTCGATCCTCGACACTATCTCTGCCAGGTCTGTGAAGGAGGCGTTCGGACAGGTAACCACCTGAAAGAGACAAGCCGCATCATTACAAAGATGATTAAATCAGCTTCAATTCACTTTAATCCCACTGTTTGTGAATAAACTGATGATTTACAACGCTGGGTTACATTGTAACTGTGGTTCTCTGAGTGAAGATACTATCTCCCCAAATAGTTACATATTAGAAGGTAATCTGTGAGCTATTTCAGTATTATAATAATAGTAATGTAATAATAGTTTTAAATGAATTCATCTGAAAACATTTCCCAGACCTCCTGGCAGAATTATTGATTGAGGGCATTTCCACATATTCTGAGTTGTGTCAACACAAAGTCCATACTGGTCTGAAATATGATGAAACAAACAGCATGTTCATGGCTTTAACATCTAGTAGTCTGGACTAGTAGTGTCAGTAGTCTGGACTCACATGGCCAGTGTTGTTCTTGTGGAACTCCTCCTGATGTCTGTCCTTAAGCATGCTGTCCACCACGCCACTGCGCTGCCACACATCAAACACTGTCTTTCCGTGCTGGTATCCCACCTCCTGCACACACAGTGAAGAAGGATGAGTGGGAGATTCTTAGCCATCGGGGGGAAGAGACACAGATAACATGAGACACAGAGGGGGAACTCACAGCGATCTCATCAAACTTGCCGAACTCTAGTGTGCCGTAGTGGTCGATGGGCGGCCGAATGTACTCGCAGTAATCGCTGTCTTTTACCACTTCCAGCTGCTGCACACAACACACGTAAGCAAGCCGGGTTTGGATCTCTGCCATGTTCAGGACCTGGAAGGTAGAATTAGCTGAGTCCAACAGGGCTGTGAAGGCCGGCACTGGTATATCCAGTGTGCTTAGGTTTTATCATTCTCATACAGACGCTCAACCATTTCTCTAAAATAAGCTCAGCAGGTGATAACTTTGACATTTTCCCACTTTACAGACGAGAATAACTAGAGAGGACATCTTTCATGAAAGAGTACCTTCACTTTCTCAGCCAGAGGGTTGAAGCGTTTCCACAGCAGCCACCAGCCGTTCAGGGAGTCACCATAGTTGGTCAGGTTGGTTTCATCCCGACTTCCAACATCGATTGCAATCACAACCTTGGCCCCCATAGAGCGAGCCACATCAGCTACATCCCAGAATGAGAGAAACACATTTATTTCCAGGTTTTAGAGGCCAAGAAGCTGATTTTATCAATCAGCCTCTTATTGTGAGCAATGATGTTTGGCATGATCACAAAATGATTTGGTAATTTCACAAGACAGATTTATATTTAGTTTGAAGGTATGTGTCAAGGAAGAAAGGACATAAATGGTAGCCTCTGTGCTATTGTTGAGTCTTCACCTTTGACTCTGTGGGTACTGGGTCTATTATCTAGAGCAGCACTACTGCTGAGACCATCTGCTCTACTGGTTGAGCACTTTGAGCACCGGATTGTTCTGCCTGACGATGATCATTTCTTATAGTCACTTGGGAAACTTTATCCCTGCATTGCTAAACCCAAAACATGCAAAACACCGGGTTATAAAATCAAAACTTCTAAATCTTAAAATACGCTAATAAATGGAGAGGAGAGAAGTAGTCCTGGTCAGGAGACATGCACACGTTTCTATTTCACAGGCCACTGCACATATCTAGGCAAACAAATAGGACCTAATATAGATGACATAATTCAATCAAATCATGATTCTACTGTAGACTAGATCACCAATTCATTAGAGCGATGGAGCTCTCTAATCTCAATGATTGGCAGGATTATCATGCTGAAAATGAATATTCTTTCTAAACTTTTATATTTATTTCAGAATATTCCCCTAACCTCCACATCCATTTCCAAAACTGAAAAAGTTATTCATGGACTTTATATGGAATAGAAAATGTCCCACATCATGTCTCTCTCTCCTGTACGTACCGTACGATAGAGAGGGGCTGCGCTGCCCTGATCTCCCGCGGTGTTACAGCCCAGCAGAGAACCATTTAGTTTGATTTCTCTTCTAAAACATCCTCCATCTTGGCTTGCGATAGATGCAGATTCCTTTAGTCTACCCTCCACTTGTACATGTGCTCTACAGGTATTTGAATACGATTGATCTCTGGCATGCTGTGAATAAAGATCTGGGTGAATGTCAGGTTCTTCTTGCTTTAGTCCACTATGGGGCAATGAGGACTTTGTGCCTGGTAGATCCGACGGAGGCTTCTGACTACGGGCAGACCGAGGTCTTGTATAATTCCAAGACGTCTTTAATGATAGAGCCCTCGTGTCATTTGAGAAGAAACATTCCCAGTGATGTGCAGCACATGCAGTTAGGTCCACTCCCACCATGTTAGTGTCTCTCACCAGGCAGGTTGTTGATGTACCCGCCGTCCATCAGTAAATGTCCATCTTTGGGATCACAAAGAGGTGGCAGGTAACCAGACAGGGACATACTGGCCCGGACGTACCGCCACAACGAACCTGGAGAAGTGAATGGTTAACAGGTTAACAGGTTTACACAAAGAGAGAACAGACGGAGTAGTGTACAGACGTTAAGCACTATTAGAACATGCTTTACATATCCAAGTCATAAAGAGACCACAGGAGTGTTAGTTCATGTTTTGGATCATTTACTTTACATTACATGTACATTTGCTTTGCTGCCCATTATTCTCCAGCACTCAGGTAAACATTTAACTCATTTATTTCAGTAACAAGTCTTTTCTTATAATAAAAAAAGGTTTCAGAGGAGATTCCAAAAATGTAAATGTATTACATTTTTTGCCATCATACAGCTGGATGTTTTTTAAAAAAGAAGAAGAAGAAGAAGAAGTGAATAAAAAAGTCCAAAGTTGCACAGACCGTCAGTGTGAACCCTCATGGAGGAAGCTGTGATGTCGGTTGTAATGTTGAAGTACGGGAGCCACAGGTCCTAGCAGAAGCAGAAACATCATTTGTAATTAAGTATCACACCACCATTATGGAAAGATGCATTCTCACCAGCGCTTACTGTTTTACAACTACAACTTGTTTTAATGTGCTAACTGGTAAATACTGTATATGTTATATCCCATAATAATAATGATGGAGTGCTCACTTCAAGTGTGACACAAAGGTGTAAAGATGTACTGCACATTCAGCTGTGGTAACTCAATCCAAATAATAACGCTTCATAAAGCACACCATGATAAACACACACAGCAGAGCGGATGTATTAGAGGCCGGTAACACTTTCCTTGTTCAGTGATTCAGAACAAAACCAGTGTTCCCTTAAATTATGTTAAGTCTAATAATCCCTTCTGCCTCAATGCGCAGCTCTTATGCCATGCATCACCGTACCTCTATCTGTTTGGCCTTGAAGACCGAGCTCAGGCCGGAGTTAAAGGAAGCTCCAGAGAACATGGAGGTAACAGGGTAGGTCAGATCCAAGATCTTCTTAAAGTACGAGGTCATATCCTGAGAATGAAAGGGATTTACAAAGGGAAGTGGAGAAAAGTGTTAACTTTCCCCAAACATTCTCTCTCAGAAATGGAATTTACGTAAAGAAAACTAGTGTCAGAAGAGAAGAGAAAAGTCTTATAAATAAATATTAGAGGAGTTGTCAACTCCTTCAAATAGAGTGAATTCAGTATAATGTCAACACACCATGGCCCACTCACGAGCCCGGACCCTCATGCGACTGTTGTTCTTCTCCTCGGCATACAGCGCTCCGATGAAGGAGCCGATGGAGGTGCCGCCCACCATGTCGACCGGGATCCCCGCATCGTTCAGAGCCCGCAGGATACCGATCTGAGAGCAACCCCTAACAATAGACAGTCCTCCATCAAAGAACACCACATGATATGATGTCATGATATCTCATCCTGATCAACCATTATCACAAAAGTAAATTCTAACAAGTTCATCTGTCTCATATTTACAGTCAGATTCTTTTAAGGATCTGGGAAATGTAGTCAGTAGTGAGAATTTGACTTTTATTTGACTCATCTGGAAACCAACTCCACCTGATATTCACCAGAAGCATCTCTACCACTAACCTCTTTGTGCTCTGACCACTTCTTCACATCTTAATCTCTCCCCCTCTCTCAAACATACTGTTCCTATCCACCGTAATCTTCCCTCCTGTCTCCTCCTCTCTTGCCTCATCTGTCCCATCAGCTCTCCCCTCACCTGACTTCTTCCCACTCATGCCTCCCGACTCTGCCACAGACCATCTTCTCTCTACATTGTTCTCTTCTCTGGACTTCCTCAGTCCTGGTACGCTCGCCCAACGTTTTCAACGCTGCGGTTGTCTGACTCTGTGAATGCTGGAGGCTGGTAGTAAATATATGGGTGCAGTAACACTTTATTAGCATTATATCTGCTGTAGTCATGTGTCTACCAGGTGTCAGATCATAGCTGGGAGGAATACATGACCTACCTCGTCACAGCTCCAGGACAAGGCAGAGCAGTGAGGGACAGAAACACGTCAATCAGAACAGAAACAGTGAGAATACACCTGCTTATTGGAATATACATATTTTGCACACATATGCATTGATTACAATTGACTGTCAGTTGTTTTCTGTTTCGTAGTGATACTTTTGTCTGCCCTCAATAATTGGATGAAAACATAGCTACTATGTGGACTTACTACAGTCCCAAAATAGTGTACTTGATTGTGATTGTAGGGTGTGTACTTGCTACTTGAGGTTAAGTCTTACAATGCTGGTGTAGCGGATGTGTTTGTGTACCTGGCGCCCCCTCCACCCAGCACAAGGGCAATGCTGTTTCCTGTCAGAATCCTGGCCAGACGAGAGAAGTCGGAATGACGATCTGGAGACTTCTCAAACACGCGCTGGTACAACTCTCTCTGAAAACACCCAAGAATGAAGCATTGGCTAACTGGACCAGAATTGCACATAAAAGACTCAGTTGGTTGGCAGCTAGTACCAGTTTAGGTAAACTCCTCCGGGAGAAGACTCTGCGGGGGCAGGACAGGTGATGGTGTCTGGAGATCCAGCTCCGCATGTTGAGCCACTCGGCCGTCCCTTTGGGCGGCGGGTCGTCCTCCCTGTGCAGCAACACCAGCTGCTTCTGAGCACGCACTGCACTGCCCTCCAGCATTCGCTCCAACTACAGGTGGACAACAGGAAGACGAAGCAGATGTAGCTTCCACTCAGCTCATCGTGGACATCCATTGCAGAATGGAACTGTTGTGGTATGGCTGAAGTCAAAGTGAATAGTCTTATAAGGCAGATTAGCTGTGGTTTAGCTTTATTGTAAGTTGTAGGGGTTGGCGTACTTACCTACAGTTTATATAGATGAACTAATTTCATTTAGCAAAGAAACTGCTGACAAAACTGCTAGGAACTTGTAACCTTTCTCCGTAGGGCTTCAATAGCGTTTTCAAGGGGAATGAGACTTAATTCCTCAACTTTGAAATTCCTAATTTTACAACTTGAGAAGAAATCTTTCTCCTCATCTTAAGAACACAGCGTACAGTTGAGCCTCAGACATTCTGCCCCATATCTACAGCATACTCACGCCATGTTTTGATCAGCACTAAAAACTTCTTATGCTGATTATTCCAGTATTGAGGGAGAACGCTGCAGCTGGCAACCAGTAAACAGGCTGTAATTTAACAGCACAGAGTAACTCCTCACCGTCAATATACGTCGAAGTTACCCTTTCATTTCTGATTCTGTCTTTTTCAATCCTTCCATTGGCTGATGAATATTTTTTTGTGAAATACAAATCTCTCTTTTGTGAAATACATTCTCTGATTTCATTCATTTGTTCATTTGAGTTTTGTTTTGTCACTTCCAGTGTGGAGATCTCCTCCCCCATATCGGTCGTCACAGCTTGAGAGAATGGTTCGTATGTGAGGCATCGTACAGTTGGGGTGTGACAGCATCCCGTGTACTTTCTGCTAACAGAGCTCCAGCAGCTGACCTGTCGTGAGTGTATTTAAACTGACCTCACCCACAGTGGGCTCCTGCTCACCCAGTCCCACGATGATGATGCAGTCAGCCTGGCGAATGCAGCGCTGGGTCCAAGGCGTGAGGCTCGGGTCAGACTGGTAGAGGACAATGCGATGGATGTCTTCCTGCTGCCCGAGCCAACTGGACAGACGGTACTCATGGACACTTTAAAATAACAAAAACAACGTATGAATATACCTGTTGACTATGTACATTACATGAGATCTGTTCAACAAATCATGTCGGTTAGGGTTACTATGTAACTTAAGATGAAGTAACAGTGGTATTGCTGTGTATATAGACATTCTTAATCAATCAATCAACCAGCAATGCCTTATGAACTTCAAAGACTGAATGCATTACTTATATTCCTACGTTTCAACCACTCAAACACAGTGCACCTGTCCAGAGCAGCAGAGCCGAGGCGCTGTTTGATAAAGTCACTGGTCAGGAGGAGAGTCGGACCTTCAGAGAACAGAAACGCATCAGATGAGTTTTTAAAAGAGGACCTAAGACATTGTTGTGAATGTATCACAGTGCAGACTCTAAAGTAGATCCTCCTAACCCTTAAACGTGGGTATTGGTATAGTATTAGTGTGTCTTTGCAATACATTTTCTTCACTTCCCTATTCTTCATCTGTGCTTCATTTGTAATGCATGTTCTTCATCCTCAAAATGGGGACGGCTACGTTTCAGGACTACGGACAGCGGCGCATCTACACACACCAACTGCTTTGAAACAACAGCTAAGCGATAGTCACATGTCTCTCAGCCAATAGGTTTGTTGTTTTTACTATATATATATATATATATATATATATATATATATATATATAAATAAATAAATAGATAAATAAAGATCAATGAGCAGAAAGAAGAAAGAGCTTGATTCAATGATCAGTTGACGATTTGGCAAGACTTGACCAATCAGATTGGACTTTGTAAACTCTTAGTCGGGACACCCCTTCTAGTAAGAAAAGTAGTAGAAAGAATATATTGCTGTCTGTTAATGCAGCAACCAGATAAGTGGCCAATTGAATTGCACTTTAACAATAGGATGCATGAGCATAAATACATACACATCAATAATAACGTCTGTATTCTTAAAGAGATTGGAGTAATTCCTCATTTAAACCCAAAGGATACGAGGTAAGTGTATCCCATAGTCCTCTCATTGGTCACAGTATAGACTGTCCTACTCTAACAGGAGAAACAACAGATCAACACAGGAGCTGTAATTGACCCCAGTCTGCACACGTCCACACAGTCCCAATAGGAGGTCTAATCAGACAACATAGTAAACACCTGTGTGTGTGGGCTATGGCTGCAGGCTCTTTAGACACTGAATGTGATCCATTCTGCTCCCTGGGGTCAGTAGAAAGAAAGGTTTTGTTCTGTGAAAATCCAAAACCATCAGGAGAAAATGACTGATTTCTTAATTATTGCCTTCCAGTTGTATGCCTCAGCCAACCAGTCAAGTTGCACTTTACATCCATGTCTGTCCAAAATGTGTTAGACATGAGTGTGAAATTGTCATAATTTGCATGACTCTTTGAGTTAAGCACAAAGTGGAGTAAGTACTGTGTGTGTGTGTGTGTGTACCGATGCCACTAAGAGCATGCTGCAGCTCCAGAGTGAAGGCCGTGAGGGGGACCTCCTCAGACACAGGCAGGATAGACACGGTAGACAGGTTGGAAGCTGGATTTCCAGTATCCCATTTGCTGGTGGGCGTGTGGAGAGCAAGACTTCGAGCTGCAGGACAGAGTGTTTTTCTCATTGGACATTTCAGATTTAAATGTTGTATATATTCCATATTGTATGTATACGCTCTTTTATCTTGAATATCTATAGGTGTAGCGCAGCAGAGTGAGGCTCTGACACCTTTAGCATCCAATAGGCTGGAGGCGAATACAGATCAGTGGGTGTGGTTATTATTAAATACTCATACAAACAGCTGTGCCGTTCCCAGTTAAACGTGATCAGGACAGGCTAAAACATGTCACACTACTTTTGCTGAAAGGAAAGGTGGAAAAGAGGCTCTGATGAGCCCTGTGAACCGGACGTCTCCTTGATAAAAAAGTAGAATATGGAGTTATAACCGACCAGTTCAGGAGATTAAATAAAGGTGAACACAGTGAGCAGCCGTGAGTAAGCGCACTGCTATCTAGACATCAGTCCTACATGAAGTTCGTCTAACATTTGATTTTGTAACTTGTCATTATAGTTGACTGATGTGTGTAAAGTTGCCACCATAGGAACAGTGGTTACATAACCTTCAAAAGAGGCCACAACTTAACAGTTCGGTGCGCTCTGGTACATAAACAAATAGCACTAAACCGCTGCATATATCTTGATTTGGATCTCATTTCATACTAAAATCTCCATATGAAAACTGGCAATGTTCCTATTTTTGGTAGAGTACATCAATTCAGTCTCATCCTGAAACACATGAGCAAAAAGGGTGTCTAATTACCAGCCAGGGGTCCATTGCCCTGCTGCATGTTGCCCAGGATCTTCTGTCCCAGCAGGTGAATCAGCCTGGTGACGACCTGAGGATACCTCCTCTTGATGGAGTTCAGAGCCCCTTCAGGTAGCTTGGCAAGCTCAGAGTCCCTGACGGCGTGGACCGTGGTGGCTCGGTTCATGTGGGTCAGGGCCTCAACCTGGACAATCCACAACACAGGTGTTGTACTGCAATGTGCATTGCCTTAAAATGCGTTGCTCCAGTGTGTCTTTAGATTGTGTCTTATCGGCAGTTTCTGACCACTCACCACGCCGATCAGATCCCCACGGCCATACTCTCCAGCCAGCTCCTTCTTCCCATCATCCTTTGCAATGACAGAGCGCAGTCGGCCACTGAGGACGATGAAGGTGCTGTCTGACTTGTCCCCCTGTCTAAAAACAACCAAATCAAACATTACCCACATACAATAGTATGATTTCATTTATTTATTATAGTTGTTTTTTCTTTCACACATCTATATAAATGTATTTTCATAATTTGTATAATTATTGCAGTATCCCCTGCCTGACTGTAACATGCATAACAGACTTCTTTATGTCCTATTTTCTTTGTTGTATCCTTTCACATGTTTTTCTAGTGTCTCCAAAACACAAGAACATTGGACCTCATGCAAGAACATTTTGGTATTCTTATCTTAACTTGCTCTTCCGTTTTTTCGTACAGTGAGCTCATTGGAATGAGCCACGTCAGATTCAGCAAACGCTGAAGGCTTGGATAACAGCAGGCTAATAGTACACGAGTCCTTCGACAGGTCTGGACCACAACTTGTGTTCAAACCTAATAGAATATTCAAAATATGAATGGTTCTTGCATGAGACCCAATTTACATAAACGAAGGAGTGGCTAAACAAATAACTGCTTCTACGGTGTAATACGTTTATTAAAATATATCTCATTACTGTCAACGTTAGTGACACATTCATTGTTTCGGTATCAACAGCCCCATAGAGGAGATACCTGTAGACGGCACGGCCGGCCTCCACAGCCATCCAGTCCAGGGCAAAGTCAATCTGTCTGACAAATGGTGACACTCTCTTCACCACAGTGTGAGCTACGTTCAACACCATCCTGGGCTCCTCGCGCATCATCCTGACCAAGTCACAAACACAGATTTGATTGCATCCTAGAGGTGTGAAGCTACTTTGAAACCCCCCAAAAAAGGCTGAATGTTTTGTCTGCGAGCTTGATCCTACTCATAGAAGTGGGCCTTGGATATGGAGAGGAAGGTGCAGTCTCTGTGAGCTCGGACAGTGTAGATAAGGGGCTCCCCCGTGAGAACAGCCATGTGACCCACCATCTCCCCCGGGTGGGTGACGAACAGCAAGGTCTCCTCCTCACGGTCGATCATACGCTGGTAAACATGGAGCGACCCAGAGATGACAAATTCCACGCTCACATCCTGTGGAGAGGAAATATAAGACAGGGTCTGGAGGAAGGGAAGGTGGTGCCTCCCTTAGAAGCCGGGGCAAACGTTACTTGAACGCTGTGCAATGAGCGGCGAGAATATTTCTCAAATGATGGTTCCTGTGTAGTGTTCCTGTCTTTTGTTCTTTGATTGAGGAAACTTCAGATCAATCAACTCCTGTTCAATGAGTGGCTCCTCAGAAGGCTGCATGATGGAACACTATTCTACTGATCCACTGAAAGGTTTTGATCATGCAAGTGTGTGCCAGCAGGCCAACAAAGGAAGAAATCTGCAAAGAACTAAACATGAGCAAAAACAATGCAGGTTTCAAACTTTTACCACAAATCAGCTTTCCATAGTGTGTGTAGGTGTTTGCTGTGTGTATGAGGTGTGTGTGTGTCCTCCATGGTGTGTGTAGGTGTTTGCTGTGTGTATGAGGTGTGTGTGTGTCCTCCATGGTGTGTGCAGGTGTTTGCTGTGTGTATGAGGTGTGTGTGTGTCCTCCATGGTGTGTGT